CACTTGGTATTGTCAGTCTTGAATTTTTAACCATTCCTGTGGGTATATAATAGTATTTCATTGTGATTTTAGTTTCTAATAGTCACTGGGGGAAATGGCATCGAGTGTCATTTATGCACTTATTGGTCATTCAGATATCTTCTTTGATGAAGTATCTTTTCAAGTCTTTGCCCATTGCATTTCAAGTCTTTTTATTGCATTGTTTATTGTATTAGTGAGTTGTATGCATTCTTTAAACATTCTGATACAAGTCCTATGTCAGATATATGTATTGTGAATATTTTTCTCCCAGTATGTGAGTTAGCTTCTTAATTCCTTCTTTTGAAGAACAGAAGGTTTTATTCCTGGTAAAGTCCAGTTACCAATTTATTCTTCCATGGTTGTTGCTTTTCATGTCCAACCCAACCAGTCTTTGCTATTCCTAGATTTTCTTCTAGAACAGTCTTGTCAAACAAAACTATTATGTAAACCACATATATAATTTTAAGTTCTAAGTAAAAAACATAAAAAAAATGTTGAAGTTAATTTCAATCATATCTTCTATTTAAACCAATATGTCCAAAATATTATTTCAACAGGTAATCAATATAAAAATTACTGAGATATTTTACATTCTCTTTTCATCCCAAGTCTTCAAAAGCTAGACCATAGTTGATACTTACAGCACATTTCAGTTTGGACTAGCCACATTTTACGTGCTGAATAGCATGGCTAGTGACTAACTTATTGGACAGGACAACTCTAAAAGCTTAATGGTCTTTGTTTTTTTATTTGGGTCTGTGATCTAAACTGATTTTATTTTTGCATATTCTGTGAAGTATAAATAGAAGTTGGGTTTTTTTTCCCCACACAAACCAGTTCTCACACCATTTTTTTTTTCCCGGTAGAATTATGTTGTACCTCTGTCCACAATTGATAGATCACATGTCTGGCTCTGTTTCAGGACTCCATATACTGTTCCATTTATTCTTATGCCAATACTATCCTGACCTGATTATTGTAGCTTCATAGGCTTTAAAATCAAATAGCGTAATTCTTCCAACTTTGTTCTTCTTTTTCTTTTTTGCTATCTTAGACCATTTTCATTTCCATATGAAATTTAGAATCAGCTTGTTAATTTCCACAGCAGAGGTGACTGGGATTTTGCACATTATAGAGGGTTAAAAAGACCCCCCCCCAATAAGATATACCCATGTCCTAATCCCTCAGACTGAGAATGTTACCTCATTTGGAAAAAAAGGGCGGGGGGCTGTAGATATAATTAAGGATCTTGAGATGAGATCATCTCAAGTAATTCAGGTGCATTCTAAATCCGATGGCAAGTATCTGGTAAGATAGGCCTACAGAAGAGAAAACACACAACACACAGAAGAGAAGGCGATGTGAAAACGGAGGCAGGGGTGGGAGTGATGTGGCCAGAAGCCAAGGAAGCCAAGGAAACGGGAGAATGTCAACCCCCTCTCAAAGCTGGAAGAGGCCAAGGAAGGATTCTACTCTAGAGCCACTAGAGGGAGTGAAGCCCCACGGACACTGTGATTTTACACTTCTGGCCTCCAGGACTGAGAGAGAATACATTTCTTGTTTTAGCCACAAACTTGTGGTAATTTATTGCAGCAGCTATAGGAAACAAATACGTCCATTATCAACTTGAGGAAGTTTCTTTTCTTTCCTGTTTTTTTTTTCGTCAAGAATGGGTGTTGGATTTTGTCAAATGCCTTTTCTGCATCAATTGAAAATATTTTTTTCCTGCTATTTTTGTTAAGGTTGTCATAATCTATATAAACACTCTGCTCACATGGTATTAATTTTAGCCCAATCATAGCTGTTACCTCTGGTAACATCTGTTCCTGAAAGTGCTGGGTCCTAACATGTTGTATCAAATTGTAAATATGTCAGCATGAATCTTCTTGCTTTATATTTGCTAAAGACATTTTAAGAAGTCATTGAAGAGTCTGTAGAATAAGCCTGTATCTCAAAGTGCTTACAAAAATAGAGATCGTGGAATTTATGCTGAGTGGTTCTCTACAACTGGGACCACATTTGTAACCCTTGGGTCCAATTTGGCCTTGAGAGATACTTCGTTTGGCCTCTATACCGTTTCCAGAATTGGGAAATTTTTATATTGAAAGACTAGATACCATGCTTGTCCTGAATTATACAGATTTGGCAACAGTGCCTTGAATTCCAACATGGCAGCAATTGGCCTGAGCTGTATAGCATCTGCCCCTTGCACAGAGAATGTTCTTTTCACTTTTACCACAATCTCACTCCTCACTGTTTTAAACTTCATAGAGATTGGAGTTTGCAATCTCTGCTCCAGAACCTTCATTGGGGCACACCATCATCCAAAGGCACATGTCACTGAGGGAATGCTTAGGGGAAAGGAGGGTATTACAGTTACCAAGTTTGAAGAACTTTGTGGGAATAACTTAAAAAAGGATTTTCATATAATTCATTACCAATAAGAGAGTCTGATCGACTGATTTATGGGTAAATACAGCACAAAGAAAACATTTAAGAAGATCAAAATTAAAACCCTACACTACACAAAGAAGGTAAAACCGCTCACCTGCAGTCAAAGAAAGAAATACTGTACAACTTTATAATGTAAAATGTGAGAAGTGATGGCACAGCAAAGATACCGGAGATTCCACTAATGTGTTGTATGTCTACAACCTTCCACTCCCCCTGCAAGGCGTATTGAGGAGAAAGATGATCAGACCAAATTTTGAGAATCTTCACAAATGTCCTCCAGTCGGGAAAGTAGTCAGTGGCATCCCCATAAAATGTCTAGGAATCTTTATGAGCTAGCCACTGTTGGATTTTTGCCGGAAGCAGGAAAGTCCGCCACCTTCTGGGGTACTATGTTAAACTGGGCAAATGGGCTGAAGTTCATAGGCTTGGGCTACTGCTTGGCTGGCTTGAAGGACTGCTGAGGATTTAAGGAATTTCAGAAGTGATGGCTGACTTCTTCCAGCAAGCTCTATATTCCATTTCAAGCTGAGTTCTTCAATCCCCCGTTGCCCCTCCTCTCATCCTTAAACCCTCAGATTCCAGAAAGAGTAGATAGCAGTAACACTCGGCCCTAAAACTGAAGCTCAGGTTAGGGAAGACGGACACATTTCAGGCAAAGAGGAAAGCACCCAGGAATTCACTCCTAGCATATGAGTGCAAATACACGGTCTGGTATTAACTTTTAAGGATAAACAAGATAAAAGATATGACATAGCGATTATGCAAACATGCTATAACATGGCAGTGGGAAGGAAGGAAAGTAGCATGTAAAAGACCGAAAACAAGGCTGGAAGAAAACATAAGCAATGAGCAGAAATTTGTATTCCTTATATGTGTTTCACATTACAGGAAAAAAAATACAGATAACTCAAAACAGCTCAAGGACACTTTAAGATGAGACTGTAATGAAAAGGGAAATTGCATAGCTGAGAAAATTGAGGTTCAAAACAACATGATTTTAAAATCCAGTAAGCTAGAAAAATAAACGAATAGAATTTTTTGAGAGAATCAGAGTACGTGCAAATCACAAGAAGATGGATGCGGAAGGAGAAAAATCAACTGGTGACTCCAGGGTAAAAAATCCAACCGATGAAAGATAAACTTACTCAGATGTATAATATGAACGGGATGCTATACTAAGAAAAGGAGAATGGAATCCATAAATTGAAAGATTATTCTATATACTGGGGGAGGGCGGGGGGAGGAGGGATGCTTATAGAGAATAATGGACACTGAGACATAGCCCAGATAAGGATCTGGTTTTAATGATTAAAAAAAAAAATAGTCTTCAGGCATCCAAGTAGAAAAATCAATTACCTCCCAGGGAGAAAATTACACAGGATTCAGATCTCTCCACAAAAATTTGATGTCAAAAATCAATGAAGCAATTGCCTTTTTGTTCTGTTAGGTTTTGAAGAAAGGTGTGAATCCAAAATATTTACCCTGTTCAGTTTTTAATGTGTAGAGCTAAAAAGTAGATAAACCCTTAAGGTATTCTTTAAGCATTCCTTAAGAAAGCTACTTGGAAAAGAGGGCAGGTCATTAAGAAATACAAATCGAGAATTTAGGAATGCATACGTTATGATGAATGTGGAAGTCACTTAAATACAGAATTAAGAGACTGAAAACCTGGGAGAGTAAGGTGGGCGAATAAGAACATGTAAATGTTCTACGAGCCAGTGAGCCACAAGTAACGTAAGCAGTGGAAATTGGAAGATTGCGGCGAAGGTGGGTAGAATTGTTAAGATGCGAATAACCTCGTATTTCAAAGCTAGGAGACGGCCTGAAATTGCAGCGAAGTCTTCATGCCTTTCATTTTACTTCACATTTATAATAGGCCTCTTTTAGGAATGTGTATCGTGTAGGCTAGAAAGCAACCGCTGGAGATTTGCTTCCGTTTCTTTTTTTTTTCCCTCAAATTTGAATAACACTGAAACATTTTAAATTACTTAAAGCATACATAGTAGGATTCCAGAGCCATAAAATCATTTCCGTCTCATCTCTGTGTGCCTTAGGACCTCCATGGGAAAGACGGGAGTGTAAGTGCTTCTCCCAGGGTACTCTTGAGGGCTATTATTTCCCCACGAAGTGCTTAGAACCGTGCCTGGCTCCCAATTAGGGGCCGCAGTTAGGCTGCCATTGCTTCAACCCCGCACGAAGGGGAGGTGAGTGGATGGAGCGGCTCGCAGTGCCCTCCTCGCATCTGGCGTGTTTCGCGCGTCTGCTGGGGCTCGGGGCGGTTCATCCCGGCGGTGACTTCAGCGAACCGTCCCGGACGCCGCAGGGGCTTCGGGCCGCCTCGGGTCTACCTGCGCCAGCTCCGCACCTGGGCGACCCTGGCGTAGCCCGCACGGATGACTCAATCGGCCAGGCGTCTGGGCGCCGGTCCTCTTCCTCCGCCCAGGCCGCCGACCCCCCGGCTCCCCAGCGGGGCCTCCTCCTGCCACGTGACGCCCCCGCCAGGGGCCCCAGCGCCCTCCTCGCGGACGCGCCGTTCCGGCTCCCGGGCTCCGCCTGTGCGCGGCCTCCTCGGCGCAGCCATCCTCGCGGCTGCCGAGGGCGGCAAAGCCCACGGCATCTGCCATTTGTCATTCAGCCCGTCGGGACCGCCCCGAGCCTTGATTTAGACACGTCTGGGGCGTCTTCTGGCCTCACTCTCCTGGCGGACGGACGGACGGACGGACGGGGCGGCTCTCCTCCCAGCGCGGCGGACCGCGGGCCTTGGCGCGCGGGGTGCTTCCCCGGGTCGCCGTCATGGCCGCGGAGGCGGCGCGCCCGAGCTGCCTCGCCTGAGTTCCGGGGGGCTCTCGACCCCGAAGGGTAGGTGGTGGGGGTGCCGCGGGCCCGGGCCGGCGGGCGGCGGCGGCGGGGCCCGCGGCGGGCCGGGGGGCGGCGGGGCGGCGGCGGCGGTGCCGCGGCGCGAGCTCCGTCCCGGGCTCCGTGCCGCGCCGGGGAGGGTGTGCCGGTGCCGACGCGCCGCGTACGTGACGGGGTCCGGGCTCCTCGGGACCAAGTGTGAAACTCCGACGAATTGTCACCGGCCAAGCCGAGTTGACTGGAACAAAACATTCTTTCAGCCGGCCGTTTTCAATGCCACTTTTTGAAGCGTTTTGTGTATATTTGGTATGTAGTAAATAGACTCGACTTTTGAAACCTGGCACTCCAACCTTGCCAAGAGGCCAGAGGGGGGGGGGAAGATAAAAAGTCTCTTAAAAGTAGTAAAGTAATTAAACGTGAAAGGTTTGCGTTTCATGTTCACTATGGAAAATATGATTCGTTTTATCCTTTAACGTTGTGGACTCTGTCAGATATGCCCTTAAAACTATTTAAGAACGTGGGCTCCTAAAAATTTCCTAGATTAGGATAACTGATAATGCAACTTTGGTTATTTAGTCTCCGCATCAAACTTTCAGGACGGTGGTGGGGGTTTTTGCTTCTTAATAAATAAACTTCTGTAATTTTGACTTTACCCCCCCCCCAACAAATGTGTTACTTTTATGTTTTAGGAAACCAATAAAAATTAAAAATAGCAGCACTCAGCTTAGGTCCTCCTTCTTCCAGGAATCTTTCCCTAACCCCTCCCTCCCCAGGCAGGATCGGAGGCCCCTCCTGTGAGCCTTCTGGGGCCTCACTGAGGTCCGGGTCCCTTATGTCCTCCCCACCCCCCCCAGCCCCGTGTATTAACCCATCAGTCTCGCTCAGAGTCCAGTGGATACACAGCACATGGTAAGTGATTAGTACTGTTTTACGACCGAAGGAAGAGATAAAACGGTCTGATGTTTTACAGTTTGGGCTCTAAAATTATAGAGTGGTAAATTTGTATACGCTCAGATAAGAACATTTATTTAAAAGTTATGGATCTAGAAAAGTTGACCCCGTCCGATGGCCGTGTTACGTGTCCTAACAGTTCCACCCCTAGGTAGCTATCCTCTAGAGCGATGTTTTTCAAAGTTGGAAGCCCATTTTAGCGAGTCGTGAAATCAGTTAAGTGGATAATGGTCAGAATTTGTAAAACACAGATTAACAGAGAATAGAAAATAACAGACTATGTCTCAGGTCATCGGGTATTTGCTTCATGAAACTTTTTTTCCCCCTCTCAGTTTTATACACACACAGATGTGTGTCATGATGTAAAACGTCATTCCTTAGTATGAGTCATGGTCAAAAAAGTTTGAAAGCCACTGCCCTAGATAAATTTTCATACATATACACATGCAGACGTGTACGAGGTTTACTACGGTGTTATTTGTAATACCCCAAAGCTGGATGCCTTGTTGTCTATGTGAAGGAGAAAGGTAAATTATATTCATAAAATGGAACCTACCCAGAAGTGGTGAATGAAGTAGTTTTGTGTTTCAACATAAATGTGTCTCAATAATGTTGAGCCAACCAAAAAAAAAAAAACAAAAAACCCAGAAAAACTCAAGTTGTCGAAGAGGGTATCATTCAGTATTCAGAGAAATTCAGAACCTGACGAAATAAAGCTGTTGTTTAGAGATGCATATACAGGCATTAAAAGTAGTAAGGAGAAGTTGTGAATAAATTGATACCCTAAAAGTCAAACTGGTGGTCTTCTCCTGGGGGATCAAGGTTGGGTGGGGGGCTGAGATTGAGAAGGGACATAATGAGGACTTCTGGGATGCTAAACATGCTCTATTTCCTGACCTGGGCAATGATTACATCAGTGTTTGCTTTATTACTCTTTGTTAAATGATACATGTCACGTCTATACATTAAGTTTCCCTCCAAATCTGTTAAAATGTGGGTGTTGCGAAATGAAGAAGCCTGAAGCCAGGGCTCTGATCTATTATTCATATTTCCCAGCTTTCCTTTAAAAAGAGAAAAGTTGTGATCAGAGGTAGGTATCCAGGGAATTCACACAATATCCGTAATGTTTTATTTCATAACTTTTAGGGTGGTTATGTCTGTGTTCATTGAATCGTGTATATGCTTTTATATCTTAATTTTTTTTGATAGAAGAAAAATAAAATTCACAGATAACATTTTGAACATTTGGTGTGTTTGCTTTCCGAAAAATGACTGTTACGTATTTTTTATAAAGTTGAAATTTTATTTTATTTTATTTATATTTTATATAAATCAAATTCTTTTACGAAAAATGTAAGTACTAAAAAGTATATAAAAAATCTAACGGACCTTTACGAACCCTCATCGAGAATTTTTAAATGTTAACATGCTGTCCTATGCACTTCAACAGTTTCAATTCCTCCGTCACTTTAGGCCACATTCCAAGTGCTCAATAGTCACATATGACTAGTGGCTATTCTATTTTACTGTATTATTTTATATTTTACTGCATTATACTATATAACAAAACACTTCCATCATTGCAGCAATTTCTGTTGGAAAACATTGTTCTAGGTGCAAATCCTTTGTTGGTTATGTAAACTGCAGACAATCTTTTCTTTGTGCTTTCGTGTCTTAAGATCCTCTCCTCCATTAGGGAAATGTACTTGGAAATTTTTTCTAAGTTTTCAAGTTTCTATTTTTTTTTTACACAATTCTTTAACTTACCTGCCTTGTATATGTATAGATATGTATTTTTAAAATTTATGTTGTGAGATCAAGACAGATTCATTCTCTCTCTCCCGGTGTGGCGTGGCAGTTGATCCCCGCACCAAGTGATTAGCAGTGCTACCTCTGTCATACACATCTTCCCAGATATGCTTGGACTCCTTTCTGGGCTCTTCACTCTGGTCATGGATTTGCCCCCACAAATACTACACATTTTTATTTACTGTTGCTTTGTATGTAGTCTATTTTTTCAGTTCTAATTAATTTAAAATTTTTTCCTTAGGATGAAAAAAAGATCATTAGGATTTTTTTTTCCCTTCCCCATGAGATTTTTAGAAGTATTCTCTAGTTTCAAATGTGGAAGGCTTTGTGAGTTATTCTTTTGTTATTGATTTCTAACTTGCACTGTAGTCAGCAAATGAGGGCTCTATGTTACCCATTCTTTGAAATTTGAGAATTGCTTTGTGGCCTCCTGGTTAGTTTTTCAACTGCGCCTTGAATGATTGAGAAGAATATGTACTCACAGACTTTTGGGGCAAGGTAGGTATAAAAATATAAATACGCACGCACCCGTCTTAGATCAAGCACAAGAATTGTGATGTTCATAAAAATCATTTTAACCTTACTAGTTTTTTGGTTTGTTTGATCTGTCAATGACTGAGATAGGTGTAATAAAAAGATCATGAATTTATACATTTCTTCTTGTAATTCTGTCACTTTGCTTTATAAACAATATATACAGGTTTGGAATTGCTCTATTTTGAAATCTGTAGATTGGCCTTTTTGTCATTCTACAGTCCTGCCCTATGCCTCCCCACCAAATGCCTATTACCTTAAAATCAATTTTGTTTTAGAATACTCCAGTTACACCTTTTTAGTTAACATTTGTTTAGAATATCTCTTTAGCATAGATGAAATCTGATTTGTTTTTCTGTTCTGCTCTGACAGTCTTTGTGTTTTAATGATTAATGATATATATAGGATTAAACCTAACATTCTGTTTTATGGTTGTTTTTATTGTTTGTGTTGTGTTTTTTTTCTCTTTGCCACCTTTTGGATTTTTTTCAGACTCCCGATTTCTTCCCTTTTAACTGGTATGAAAATTATGTTTTATTTATTTTAGTTTTAAATTTTTTAATGTACAACTCAACCTAAAGTGTATTAATTCTACTTGCAGATAATTCAAGAAACCTAGGTTGCTTTCACACCAGTTAATTACATGTTGTTGTCATCTGGAGTTTTAGTTAACACCTTGTTTTTTTTTCCCCCTGTAAATTCGACATCATTGGTTTTTTTTTTTTCTTTTTATGGATCCTTTGTCATTCCTTCTCCCATCTCAGATCTTTCTTTTTTTCTTTGTCAAATATATTTTAGAAGCCTATTTATTAAAGGAAGGTTGATGGCGAACTTTATCTGAAAATGTCTTCATTTTACCCTCTTGAATGATGGTTTTGTTTGGTATACAGTTCCAGGTTGACTGTTTCTCAGTTCTTTGGAGGCGTCGTTTCATTGACTTCTGCTTTCAGTGTTACAGTTAGTTCTGATAACTGTTACTGTTGTTAATCTGTTGCTTTTTTGTTTTGTGTTTTGTTTTGTTTTTTGCCTCCTTTTAAGATCTTCTCTTTTGTGCTATAGTTTTGTAGCAGTGTGTCTAGGTGTGGACATTTCACTTATACTGGATTTATTATTTCCTGTCTCTAAGGTTGGGCTTTTATTTATCAATTCCCCAAAAGTTTCATCTTTTTTCTTTCTGTGTAGCTTTCCCTCCCCCCGCTTTTTTTTTTCCCCCCCTTTCTTTCAAAACTCTGCTTGGACTTCTGCTAGATTTGCTGAGTCTATCCATTTCTTTTAATCTAGCTTTTATATATATTATATGTTTTTTCTTCATGTTAAATGCTAGATAATTTCTTCAGGTCTTTATTCTGTCTTTTGTCCAGTTTTGTTTTCTCCAAAATAAGCTATAGTTTATGTACAGTAAAAGCACAGAAATAAAGCGTATGGCTTTAGGAGATTTACATATGTGTATGCCTGTGTGATCACCACTCGGATAAAGATAGAACACATTTTCATCCCTGCAAAAGTTCCCTCCTGTCTCCTCCGCTCAGTGGAGATTCTCTTCTCCATCGGTCAGCTACTGTCCTGACTTCTAGCACTGTGAATTATTTTCAGGTGTTTTTGAACTTCATATAAATGGAATCATATAGTGTTTGTGTTTCCTTTTGTTCACAGGATATTTTTGAGATTTGTCCAGGCTGCATGTATAAGTAGTTTTTTGTTGTTGTTGG